TTTTACACTGAGGAGATGTAAAATGGCTCGGTGTTTTTGACATTCTTTCTTATATGCGATTTTTCTTATATAAGATGTGATTATATCCGATATCTACTGTAATATTCATTATCAATTCAATTTTACAGACATTGCTGCCCTCTCATTGTGAGAGAGATGAATTATTTCGTACAAAAACATTGCATCTCATCAGTATTAGGCTTTCGTTCATAATATAAAATAAACCCTGCCGCAATATAAATTTGTATGATGAATCATAGTAAATTTACCTTATCCTTGCTCAGAAACCCTTATATGCAACACAAGTTAGACAGTACTTTTCGTTTATAGTCCATTACGCTTAAAGGCCAAAAACGGATGTAAGCGAAAACAGTACTATTTACTGACAATTTTTTTCCAAATTCATACAAATTATTTGTTCTTTAGTCCATTTCGCCTATAGTCCATTTTCGTTTAAAGGCCACATTTTCTGTGCATGCAAAACTAACATTGCTTGGCATGCCATTTATATTTCTTGCAACTTTGCAAATGTCAAAAATTGCTAAATTCATAGATGTTGCGAAAATTGTAGTAGGAAATGGATTGAAATATGGACAATTGAGCGCCAAATACAAAGTAGTCAAATCAACAGTTTATAAAATAATAAAAATTAGAGTAACTTCGGGTAATGTGGACCATGCGTCAAATGTGAACCACCCCCCCCATATCTATGAAAATGCTTGAAATATGTCAATGCCGCCTTGATAATTTTTTCCCCAAATAGTGAAAACAAACATCAAAATTGGATTTTAATAAATAATTGCAATATTGAAAATGTAGTAGTAGAAAATGTAGCTCTGATTGCAAAAGTGTGATTTTAAAATTTTTTAGCACAATAGTCGAACGTTTTCGCAAAATGGTCGAACACTTTGTTTTTCTCGAATTTAAAGAAGTTATGTGGTTTTCTTGTTTTCTTTAACAAAAATATACGTTTACGCTGTAATTACAATCGGTGATTTTTAATTTTCATTTCGTTTTCGAAGCCGATAATTATTTTTAAATAAAAATATTCAATGTCGGGTAATGTGGACCACTTTAAAATGGGCACATTTACATGAGGACGAGTTCGAAACATGGGCGCATTTAATATGCGAGGAGGTATTCTATCCTCTGAAAGCTCGATATGCGAAATTTCAGGTGCTTTTGTTGGATAACGAAGCAAGGACCTTCGTAATGCCGCAAATGGGGCGGTACTCTTAAATGGGGGCTATTCCAAAACATGATCCCCTATATTTTTGCATTCATTGTTACCTAAGAGTGCAATAAATTGAAATTTATCACAACCAATCCACAACATACCTTTAACTTACTGATCCTCATTACCCACGCATACTGGTCCACATTACCCACCAAGTTATTTTTATACGCAGTTTAGAGTTTTTGAAATATAATGCAATAAAATTTTTATAGGCAAATATATAATGTTTGACCTGGAATATATTTAGACAACAAATCTACTATTTTGTGAAAACAATTTGTTTTTATTGTCCACATTACCCGAAGTTACACTAATTCTAAAATTAACAAGTGAAAAAGCGGTAAGTTCGGACGGGCCGAACTTTGGATACCCTCCACCATAGTTATATTGACAGGTACTATAAATGAAAATATAGGAAACATACCAAAAAGTGGACCTATACCGACATTTCTAAAAACGGATTATGTAAACCATAATAAAAATTTTCGAAATTTTTAAAGGATAATTATACCCTCAGCCTTATGACTAATGAGGGTGTATACACTTTAACACCATGAAAATGTGCTTTATCGAAATATTGGTACTAGACCCCATGTTTCTTTGGACCAAATCCGTTTCAGAAAATTTAGATTTCATCCGAACTTTGAACATCTTATTATTTCTTCCAAGCTTAGTTCAAATTCGAAGATGGGGAATATCGGTCCACTCCTTCTGGAACCTCCATTCAGGGGCTAGGTCTAAATGCGGCTATAGTTCACTACCGAACCTTACGTTCTAATTTTGTATCTCTCTATCCTCCGCAGTTGAAATGATTTCAAAAGGGTCTTAGAACCAAACCCAAAACGCGCAACAAATCAGATAACTTTTTTATATAAAAAAAGGGGGTTATATGGGGACTACCCCAAAAATATACGACTACAAAATACCAAATTGCAGCAAATTCGGTTGAAAAACGCGCTCAAGAACCCCAAACTACCGAAAATTGGGGGTATCCTTATATGGCGGCTATCCGAAAAAAATGACCTATATTCATAATATTTTGTGGAGAGCTTTGAAAACTATTAAGAACTAAATGTACCAAATTTCAGCGTATTCGGTAGAAAAACGCGCTCAAGAACCCCAAAATACCGAAAATTGGGGGGTACCCGTATATGGGGGATATCCGAAAAAATTGACCTATATGTATAATTTTTTGTGGAGAGATTTCGTGCCTATTAAGAACCCAATGTATTAAATTTCAGTGTATTCGGTTGAAAAACGCGGTCAAGAACCCCAAAATACCGAAAATTGGGGGTACCCTTATATGGGGGCTATCCGAAAAAATGTACCTATATACATAATTTTTTGTAGAGAGATTTGGTACCTATTAAGAACTCAAAATACTAAATTACAGCCAATTCGGTGGAAAAATACGATCAAAACCCCCAAAATACTGAAAAGTAGAAGGTACCGTTATATGGGGGCTACCAGAAAAAGTGGACCTATATTTATAATTTTTTGTGGAGACATTTAGTACCCAATAAGAACTCAATGTACCAATTTTCAGCGTATTCGGTTGAAAAACAAGATCAAGAACACCAAAACACGGAAAATTGAGAGGTACTGTTATATGGGAGCTATACCTAAACGTGGACCGATATATCCCATCTTCGAACTTGACCTGCCTGCAGACAAAAGACAACCCTATGCAAAATTTCAGCACCCTATCTCAATTCCTTCAGAAGATAGCGTGATTACAACAGACGGACGGACATGACTAGATCTTCTTAGAATTTTACCCCGATCAAGAATATATATACTTTATAGGGTCGGAAATGAATATTTCGATGAGTTACAAACGGAATGACAAAATTAATATACCCTCCATACTATGGTGGAGGGTATAAAAAAGCTTCAAATTCGTGTAATCTAAAAATATATGGTTTAATAAAACGCGTGGCTAGAATGCGGTGGTGGCTGGCCGTTTTCCTCAGAATATCAGCATTGTGATGAACTGATTTGCTATGGAATGTTAAATGTTGCAGATATGAATGGTATGTATAGGTTGTGAAATTTTTCTCAAATAAAACACAGTAAAACATGGTAAAGTAAAGATTAAGTGGTTCAATTATGTGGAGCCTATACCAAAAACTATACCGGCAATTATGAGGGAAGTTTCTTACCCTATGGGGAATACCTAATTAAAGGCAATTAAATGGATATTTTGTTACTACTTTCCAAGTACTTTAGGATAAGGATGCTTAAAAGCACACAATAAGGAAACAATTTGTTTTGAACTTATAAATACAACACATATTCCATGTGATATCTGGGCTACTGACCGAAACTTGATCGTGTCCTTAATAGTAAACAACACCAGGAATATTTTTCAGAAAATTGTCAATACATAGACATATGTATTTATGTTTTAGTAAAAACGAAAAAGTCTATCAAAATATTCAATATAGTTCAATGATGTTAGTAATTCGCTATATACGATTACAAATACGTCGACAAAATACGAAGGTATTATTGAACATTTTCTTATATTCGGGAAGAATACATTTAAATTCGAATCCTACATGGAGGCATAATGCTTGCATGGTATATTGACTGTACCGATTTCACTCACGTTTTCCTTCAGCTGGTTGTAATTGCATTGGGAAGGTTTTTATGAAAAAAATGTTCAGAAAAACATCAAAAAGTCGGGAAATTGGAATAATCAAACGTTGTGTTAGTTACATCGTTTATAACTCAAGAACATCTACACCGACCGATTTTGACGATTCAAAGGACTTATAAATCGTAGGTGGTCAGAATAGAAAAATATGCAAACTAATTGTGAGATTCCGCCAAAACAAATATATTAAGTAACATTTCAAACTCCCCAACTTTTGTATCGAACTTTAATGTTTAAATAAATCGTTGTTTTTTAAGACATATGAGTTCTGTTCCAGAACCTAAAATAATATACTAATTTAACTAGTTTTGCAACCTTTTACTCGAAAAACGTTTCTGAACCCACAAAACTGGTAAAACATTGATTGCCTGATGGGCTGTTATGTTGATTTTGAAGTATTGCCATCTAATTTTGGCATATTTACTAGATTTGCGTTCCCAAAGTTTTCAAATTATTTTGTACTCTGAGAACGATTTTGCAATGTTTCCCCTTTTACTAGATTTACTATCAATATTGCATCAAATGTTTTTTACCAACCTTATATTGATGCAACATTGATAAGGCAAAACAACGTTTGCCAGGTCAGCTAGTTTATTATAAAATTCGAGGTAACAATTTTTCTTTTTGTCAACAAGTGTGAGTTTGCATGTAATACCAGCTGACAGTCGATTGAAATGATCTCAAAGCCTGTGTAAATAACCTTAATTTATATTCTCGATTTCTTAAATCCACATCATATAATATGCGCATGTAAATGCGGTCTTAACGCAATACGCATAAAACGTACGCTACCTATCTCGACAATTTAGTGTGCCCTAAATAACATAACACTGTTAGTCATGTTCAGTAAACACTACAGCAAATGACAGATGAATATTGGCGCAAAACAATAATAACAAAAACAAATTACCAAAGTAAAAAATTAACAATAACAACAAATGGCATATCAGTGATTTTTTTTGGCAAACGGCAACAAAACAAAATTCCTTAGGCAGCTATTGTGCTTCACATTCAATTTTCCTTAAGCGATATATTTATTAGTTTTGCTCTGTTGTTCAAAATTTTCCTTGTCTAATGTCTGTTTAATTTAGTATTATTATTATTAGAAAATTGCAAAAATGTTAAATTTAAATTGTGTGATCTGTGCGGAACTTTTTACCCAGTCCGATGATGTGCATGTAACCACTTGTGGGCACATGTTTCACTTTCTCTGTCTTAAACAGTGGTTGGAAAGGTACATACCATAGCCACTACGCTGAACATTGTAATTTATTCGTTAACCCTTTTTTAAATTTCTTTTAGATCAAAAACCTGCCCACAATGCCGTAACAAATGTTCCGATCGCAATATATTTCGGGTTTACTTTAATTTAGCCAATTTGGATGTCAGTCGCATTGATGTCGGTTCACTGCAGGAACAGTTGGACAATGCAAATCTCCAGCTGAAAATGAAAGAAAAAGAACTAAACAAAGCCGAAGAACAAATCAAAAGTGCTAAGGAAACACAAAAGAAATGCATGTAAGTCATTGTTAAAAAAATGTCTGCTTTCATTCATAATAATTCAATAGTGGTGTAACTTGTTACCGCTCTTCGTATTAACGCCATTAATCAAGTTCAATGCCAAGATATGTTTCTGGTTTTAAATGTGGTCTGTTACATTTCTGCTGAAACACACAAATTTCGAAAAAAAATAATGACGTCACTTTCAGTGCTGCCTTTGTACGTCCACGCTAGTTGCTTTGGGTAGCATCGATATCTTATCTACCAAAGCAAAGTTTTTCATTTATTACACAGGAATGAAATTACAACTATCTACTTAGTTTACATGATAATCTTAATCTAACACATTTAACCTTGACATTGTCTCCGAAACATAAATATATGCTTCACCAGATGGGAGATTTGAACATTCTTAACTATTTTTTTCGTCTGATGTACATGCGCAAACGACTTAATGCTTTCGAAAGTTTTGCCCAATACCATGGGGTGGTCGGAATTTGATCACCATCGTTATAGGTCCAGTGGAAACTATTCTGAGCGGGTTTAAAATTTTACAGAAACCTTTCCCTTTCAAAATTAAAACATTTACTTTTTTCTTTCTAGGAAAACAATAGCCGGCTTAGAAAAAGAAGTGAAGAGTAACAATTTTGTTGTGCTCAATTATGTTGAAAAGGTTTGTAATTTAAAAACATTCAAATGTACATTTTCATTAAAATAAAATAATTTACGTTACAGATTAAAGTCCTGCAAAATCAAGTCAAAACAATGGATAGTCTACGAGATGAGGTGACTAGTTTAAAGGCACAAATTGATTCCTTAAATGGTATCAATACACTACTTACAGCTTCAATGGCTGATGCTGAAAAACTACTTAAAACCGAAAGTGATCCAAAGGTATTGTCGGTGTGTATAGCAACACTGAAAAGGTAATTAGCTTGGAGTACTCCCATAGAAATTTATGTTAAGTGTTAATTTCTCATCTCTGTAGAGAATTACGAGTGTGTGAACATAAAAAGGCTGATATACGCAATCAATTGAAGGCAGTACAAAATGATTTGCGCAAGGAACGTGATATACACAAGTATGTTTCATTTGCAACTATTTAATCCATAGCACTAATGTTTTTGTATTTTAGAAGTCTAGAAGAACGCATATCCCAATTGGAAAGTGAAAATTACAATCTTTTGGAAAAGGTAAGATATATCAAGTATAATTACATGGGGTTTCGTGCTGGCAATAAGAAAGATATGAGTTACATTTAAATCGGAAATTTTTCTTACTGAGTCTGAATATTGTAAATGGAATTTAACACTTCTTTAAATATCTACCCACCTAAACACAAATTGCTGACATAAGGTGGAATCTTTGTAATTAACTTTAAATTGGTCACATGAATATAAATTGGCTTTAATTGCAAAGGAAATAAATTAAATTTAAAATGAACTTAGCTCAAGTGGTTTTTAAATGATTAAACATTTTTATTTTAGAAAGTTAATAATCATCACTCTCTTCTTTTACTTTTTTTTCAGATAAAATCCTTGGAAGCAAGTGGCAGTTCCAAAGATTCAAAAAGCAACACATCCAGTTCAAGTTTGGACACATTACAAAAAACTCCATTTGCCAAAGTCAAAGAAGAAAAGCGTTATACTATTTCTCCTACAATTGTAAGTTGAATACACCAAACCAACGAAGGCTTTGGACTTTTTCTAATTATCATTGTTTTCATTTTTACAGAAAGAAAATATTAAAAAGATTGAAGAATCATCCTCCCCCTATTTAAATATAAAATCTAGCAGTGTCGGTTTAGTGCCACTCTTCAAACGCAACCTCGACAATCCGGCCAAACCACCAGAGGTGGGACACAAGGTTACAACAGCAAAAATAACCACACTTAAAATATCACCCAGTAAAACAGCTGGCGCTGTACGAAAAGCTAAAAGTGATTTGGGTGAAAAGGTACACAAACCATTCAATGATTCCAAAAAATGATTATAATTATGATTTCTTTTGTTTTTTTTTTCAGTACTCAATATTTAAGAAGCCAAGATTAGGATTGTCAGCAGCTGCTGGAGCTGGCGCCAAAACATCGTCAATGAAACCCTTAGGACCCAATTTCGTTTTCAATGGTTTTGGTGGTTCGGAACGTGTTGATCCATTTGCCGAATCAAACGATAATGATGATGTCATCGAAATTGATGCCAAATCATCAGAGGCAGAGAGCAATGCAGTACCTTCAACAAAACTAAGCATTCATAATCGTTTAAAGACTGGGGGCTTGCGCAATTTTAAATTGGCCAAATAAATAGATATTTTCTTACATTTTTCCTTCATTCTAACAATAAATACTTATTTTGTTTCTTATAGAAATATTTATAGTATTGTAAGTAGTAAATCTCATAAACAAAATCACAAGTTATTTTCTTGTAAGAAATTTTCCTTATTGTTGGTCTAATGGTAAATGTTCTACTGTATAATGTTTAAGTTATAAAAAAAATAAAATTTTCTAAAAAAAAAATCTGTTTTGTCTCTGGAAACATATAAATCAAAGAATTCAAAGAGGAATTAATTACATGAATTCCATATCATAAAGGTCGGTCAGTTTGTATTGAATCCTCTTCTAATGTACTGCAGTAAACCTCTTCCCCTAAAATCGGGGGAATTTGTTGCGGCACTTGGAGTAACTGGTCTATGGTAATGGGTTCATAACCTTCACGTTAACCAAACAACCTATATCGTTTTAAGGCAGTAGAGCTACGATATGAAACGGTCGTTGAAACATCACCTCAGCCCATTGGTTAAACAAAGTTGGCCTGCCACAACAACTCACCTATATTAGCATGACAAATTTTTCAAATAAAATATATACTTTAACTCTCGATTTTTTTATAGAAACGTTCCATATATTTGTATACAAATTCTTTTTATAAGATATATATATAAAATAAGCCTTGTGTGTAAAAATATATTAGCCAAAATGTATGCAAAGTTAATTATGATGTGCAAATGGAAACGCATCATAGCTATTAGGTTATTCGTTTGTTGTAAAAGGATGTTAATTACTAAATGGTTATTCAATGCAATTCGAAAAATGTATTCATCGGCAAATGAGTCCACCATATTCATAACAATGCTTGTTTTGGCAGTGCCTCTGTTCTTGTTTTAACTTCTTGTTATATGGACTTTACCAAGTTTGATTGTTGTGTGTCCCTCAATTTCATTTGAGAATTTTCTTTTCGGCAGTACCAGTCCATTCTTCTTTTAGTTCAACTTTGCAACCAAGATCACGTAATGCTGCCTTAATATCGGTAACAACAGATGGATGTTCGATCATGGCAGCGTTGAGTACATCTTCAACACCAAACGATAGCCAAGTGTCGCATTGTTCTCTAGACCTTGAGACCATATTACGTATAGCCCAAGCACCGTTACGCTAAAATTAAATCATTTTGTATTTATTTAAATGTATCTAAGCAGCCATTAATTCACTACTTACCTGTACAATTTTATTTTTGGGATGACGTCTTACAGCTTCAACAATAGTCTCTGCTATACCAGTGTCAAAAAATGTTTTACTATTATCTTTGACACGCAACGTTAGTGTGGAGATGCAGGCTAAAGCGGCACTGACCACATTCTCATTGGCCTATGAAAATAGAGATATTTTTTTTACTATATTATTTTTTTATATACTAAATATAGAGAATGGCGCCCCTCCCATATATCCATCTCAAGGTTTGGGACACTACCTTCTTAAAGTGTCTCCCCTAACGCTGGGGTGTCATGCGACCTCGTGCCTATCAGCGTTCCACGGTTTGCAGTCAGGGTACCGACTGTATTAGAACGGAGCCTTGTTGATACCTGGGCGCCTCAACAAGTGTTTCAGGCTTAGTTGCCAAGTCCTTTCCATGGTAAGAGGCTATGCCATGGTCGACCTCAAATCCTCACTAACAGCACTTTTTATGGAGCCAATTTTTAATACACCCCCCCCTAAAAAACAAAACAACAATGAAAGCGAACCTTCGACTGATGTTGGTGTGGCTGCCTTGGCACCCTCAGTCTCGAACTCTACAAGGTCAGACATCAATGATCCCCCCAAAGTGTTGACGACCCAAGCAATTCCCCTGGACCTATCTTTAGCCACCTGTCCATCTCTCGATGACGTAAATGCGAGCCTGGAGAGGCAGTCGAATCTTCTCCTCGACCTTCTAGAGGAAACCGGCTCCTTCCGCCTCAGTCAGGAGAGCATCCCAAATCAGCTCTGGGATGACTCTCTCCTGTCGGACGAGGATGACATTATGGAAACCACCGTTATTAGAACCACGGTGATAAGTACGGTAGAAACCATGATGTCTCCCCTGAAGCAAGGAGGGTCCCCTCGGCTGACTAAGGAGGCAAACCCTGGCGAGGTTGAAGACGTTGACTCAACCTCCACGGCCTGCAGTGACGTCGCGAGGCTTCTAAGGCAGTTGGCTGTCGAAGCAGATGCTGGCACCGATGAGGCTCCCATCGTTAAGATGGATGATTCATCGGTACCATTATCTGATAGACAAGCTAACGCTAAGGAGATCGCTGCCAAGAAAATGTATCGGAGAGCAGTCAATTTCTGCAAACGGTACATTGGACGGGACAGCGACTCCATCACGGGTAAGGAGTTCCTGTTAATCAAGAGGAACCTCAAACTCATTAGGAAGTTCTCTAGGAACTATCCTGATGACATTGAGAGGGACTTCTTGATTGACAGGATCCCCCGACCCAGTACTAAGACCACGGCGGTAGTCCCTTCTAAGAAGGAGAAACCTGCTGATGGCCCCGGTACATCCAGGAAGCTGATGCCTGAGACGTCTAAGCCCTCAGCACCCCCAAAGGGTAAACTGAGTACTGAGACGTCTCAGACATCAGAATCCACAAAGACAGAAGGCAGGGGACTGTCGAAGTCGGCCCGAAAGAGAGCCCGCAAAAAGGCCTCCAAGAAGACCGATAAGGCACAACCGCCCTCTGTCAATCCACCTTCTGCCGAATTGCCAAAGCTGACAGCCAAGGCGGTGACAATTGGGCAGTCGTCAGTGGTTAAGCAGAAGGTAGCGGACGCGAAGCAGGTGCCTGCGTCTGCTGGGCATACCTCTGTGGTAGCTGCTACCCCGGGTGCCAAATCTCGGCCACAGCCCACGGCTGTCAAGAGAATGAGGTCCTCGGAGGAGCAACAACCTGCTGCAAAGAGGCCCACGCAGTCGTCGGCCGTACAGAGCTCTGCTTCCTTTGCTTCGGTGGTAGCGTCGAAGGAGAAACCTGCCAAGAGCAGCGATTGTGGGGTGAAAACCAAACACGCTGTCTCGAAGCAGGTAGCCCGGACACCTACAACCAAGCAAAGCGACTCTGCTGATCCAAAAGAGGTTCCGGAAGATCTGCGGGTAGCGATCATCGACCGAGCTGACCCTGACGGGTTTATCAGTGAGGAGAGATGGGAGCTGGTCGACAGCTATCTGAAGGACCTCTTCCTGTCCGACGAGGTTGATCGTGAGAGCCTGCGGTTTGGCCTGACCTCCTCTTACAAAGGAGTAAAGGTTGTTGATTGTCGCACTAAGAAGACTTCAGATTTTCTTAAGAAGACAATCAACAGCCTGGACCCCCTTTGGGAGGGTGGTCGTCTGGCGGCCGTAGCGGTTCAAGAGATACCGAGCGGTATGGTAACCTCGGTGTTTATCCCAAAACCTTTCAAGGGGCTGGAGAAGACACTGAGGTTATTGGAGAAGCAGAACGACGGCCTTCAGACGAGGAGGTGGAGAATCCTCGCCTCGTTTGAAAGGAACGGCGGTGTAGTCGCGAAGTTCGCTACCGATTCTGCGGGAGAGGAGTACTTGAGGAAGAACAAGGGTGAGCTTGTTTATGGAATGGGGAAACTTTGTTTCCGTCTCACCACTCCAAAACAATAGGCAGGCAGCAGCAAGCGCTTAACGTGATCCAGATAAATCTGCATCACTGTAAAGCAGCAGCTGCTGAACTGCTACTCACCCTTTCTTCCTCAAACATCGACGTGGCGCTCATCCAGGAACCTTACCTGTACAAAGGTAAGGTGACTGGACTGGGCGACACCAAATACACGCTTTTGTCTACCTCCAATGGAGAGAAGGTGAGAACGTGTATTCTTGCTAAAAAGGAGTTAAATTTAATGCTTCTTTCTAATTTCAGCAATGGAGATATGACGACAGCAAGACTAGACAGAGGTACCACGAAGCCACTGATAGTCTCTGCCGTCTATCTTCCCTACGAAGCTCCTGACCCACCCGGCACTGCTGTATGCCGCCTATTGGAGGAGATGAGTAGAGTTGGTGACCTCGTCTTGGGATGTGACGCCAACGCACATCACTTCTATTGGGGAAGCAGCAACACAAACACAAGAGGTGAGTCCATCTTCGAGTTTATACTTAGCTATAATCTTAGAATTTGTAATAGAGGCAATACACCAACTTTTGTAAATAGGGTGAGAGGTGAAGTCATTGATATAACCCTCACAAATATGGACGACTCTGGGGTCGTAAACTGGGAGGTGTCTGAGAAATGTTCCTTTTCGCCAGATTCCTACCTCTAGAGTTAAACAGAAACCTTATAGGAATCCTCGGAAGACGAACTGGGACAAATTCAAAGCTAAAACAGCAGCCTCTTTTCGGGATCGTAATGATCTCAAAACGGTTGAGGATGTTGAACTAGCTGTGAAAAATGTCACGGCCACTCTTCTGAAGAGCTATGAGGCATCTTGTCCCCTGACATACCCTGGGAAGAAATCTCAACCGGTATGGTGGTCACAGGACCTTGCAACCTTGCGGAAGGCTGCAAGGAAAGCTTATAATAGAGCTAGTAAGACAAAGCTCAGTACAGATTGGGATGTCTATAAAAGACAATTCAATAGGTACAAGGGCGAAATCAAGAAAGCTAAACGTGAGTCTTGGGTCTGCTATAGCGAGTCGATCGAAGGAGTCAACGAAGCGGCCAGATTCCGCAGAGTACTCTCTAAGGATCCAAAATCCATAGGAAGTATTAAGCGAAGTGATGGAACGTGGACAAACTCTGGCAGTGAGACTCTTGATCTTCTATCATCAACCCACTTTCCTGGTTGTAAGGACTATAGGGAAGATGCGCAGTGTGTGCATCAGCCTACAGTTCGGACGAGGGAAGAGGAGAAGATGATAGAAGACACTATAAGATACCCAAAACTGATATGGGCGATAAACAGTTTTCAACCCTACAAATCTCCTGGTCCAGATGGTATAACACCGGCCATGCTGCAACACGCAGATGAACGGATAATATCATATCTGCAGGACATTTTTAGGGCTTGTTTACTTTTGTCGTACATACCCAGTCTATGGAAAGAGGTTACCGTGACCTTCATCCCGAAAGCCGGGAAGCCGAGTCATACGGTACCTAAAGACTATAGACCGATTAGTCTTTCTTCCTTTCTACTAAAAACTTTAGAAAGGTTACTAGACTCAGAAATTAGAGATACCATTGACCGTAATAA